GCAACAAGGAGAGAGACCCACATCTTTTTTTTTTTTTTTTTTTTTTTAGAAAAAAAGTAGACGTTCTTAAATGGTAACAAAACACCATAGTTCAAGCTCTGAAGCCAAACGTAGGTTAGAATCTAGACTTTTAGCTATGAAACCTTGGTCTTTCTGAACCTCAGTTTCATTAACTGAAATAATGATGATTGTAAGTTTGTTCAGTGTGTGGTTGCATAAAAATGATTAGGGTTTTGGGGTGGGAGGTAGGAATCGCCTTTGCATGTCTCTGTACCTGAGATACCAGCAGAGAAGCACCAGTCTTTAAACCCGGTGCTGTGTGCTCAGTCTCTGCTCGCAAGTGTCCGTCGTTTGCTCCTTACCTGTTTTCTGTGATGCAGTGTGATAACTGCCTCTATGAAGACATTCTTAAACATTCATCTGAAAATGGGCATTTGGAATGTAAGAACTTACCCCATTCCTTCAGGTACCAAGAGAAGACAGGCAGTTATGCAAGAAAGGCAGAAAATAACCTTGCTACTTTGTTAAAATTTCTTCCACATGGCTGTGATATTTAAAGGAACTATACCATACCAGCATTTCTCTGCTTTGGGGCAGAACTTGAATACCTGTTCACAATTTAATCCATGTTTACTAACATACCTTGATTGAGGTGTGATGGCACCCAACTGTATCCAGTCCTAACACTCGGAAGGCAGAGCCAGGGGATCTCGGAGTTAGAGGCCGGCCTGGTCCATGTAGTGAGTTCTAGGCCAATCTGGCTACATAGTAAGACCTTGTCCTTTAAAAAAAAAAAAAAGGAGCACACAGTAAATATATATATTTGTACATGTTTTTGTTCAACTTATAAGTTAAAGGAAAGCTTAAATCTTTTATAAATAATAAAACTTTTTTATCTAATACATAGTAAGGTATGTAGCATTTCAAATACCTGTGCTTAAGAGACATATGCACAGCTCTCCCCACCTCCTCATTTTTATCGTACTGTTAGGCCAGTTTTCAGGTTTTGCAAACATGGAAGTTACTTTTTCAAAAAAAAGTTAAGAAATCGTCACTCAGATTGAACATTCTGTGTGCTCGGAAATTCTTACAGGCGAACTCAGTCAGTGGATTCAGATGTCTTTCAAGCATTATGCTATGCAAGAAGCCAAACAGCAGTTTGTGGAGTATGATAAGAACAGTGACGGGACTGTGACATGGGACGAATACAACATCCAAATGTACGACCGTGTGATTGACTTTGACGAGAACACTGCTCTGGATGACACGGAAGAGGAGTCCTTTAGGCAGGTGGGTCCAAGCTGATCCTTTTGTCACACCCTGTCTCTGTACTGTCTGAGTGAGTACAAACAGGCCCGCCATCCTAGACAGTTGCCTTGTTCACTGGGCAGCCCCCAGTTGCACTTCAGTGGTTGCTTTGATGGTTTCCTTGTAGCCAAGTGCACACCTCCTAACTCTAAGCGAAAGTATCCCTGCATCCGTTTCCTCTTCACCCGTCTGTTTGCATTCCCAGAGCTGCTCCTTACGTGCATTGCAGCGGTGCTAAGATGAATCTCAGTATTTTATCTTTAAAATAATTTAACCATTAGCTTTATATCATAGTTACATATTTTATTGTGTATCCCTATCCTTTAAAAGTTATATGAAAAAGAAATGTAATTGTAGCAAAATATATTATTTTCCATTATCTTATTTATTTTTGTTGTGACACTTGAAAATTAGAGAACACCCTTGGGTGTCAGTCTTCACCTTGCCCTTCGTTTGAGACAGGGTCTCTTGTATACCGCTGCATGTTCCAGGATGGCTGGCTCCTAAGCTTCTTAATTACGTTGTCCCCACCTTCATTGTGCTGTAGAGCTGCAGCAATTGCAGACCGTCATGTCCTGCTTTACGTGGACCTGAACCCAGGTGCTCACACTCTCATGGCAAGCCCCTTACCCGCTGAGCCATCTCCCCTTACATTTCCCTTTTTTACATTTTTAAAAATGGTATTGGAGATTCAACCCAGGGCTGTGTGCATCTAAACAAATGTTCCACTGTGAGCTATATCTCATGCCCATTTCAACCTTTATAGGGTTTTCAGTAGTGTTGATTATATTCCTCTTGTTCGACCAGTTGGTCAAACTCTTCATTTTGCAAAACTGAATTCTGTGTACCCACTGTGCCCATTAAACAGTAACTCCTGTTCCTGCTCCCACCATTCAATCATGAATTTGCCTGTCCCCGGTCCTTCATGGAAAGAGAATCGTGTTTGTCTTGTTTATGACTGCCTTATTTCACTTAACATAATGTCCTCAAAGTTTATCTATGTCTTAACATATGCCAAAATGTTCTACCTAGAAGGGGTATAGTCTAAAAAAGACCAAATATCTACCTGGCAGTGGTGGTACCTTTAATCCCAGCACTCAGGAGGCAGAGGCAGTCGGATCTCTGAGTTTGAAGGCAACTTGGTCTATCTACAAAGCGAGTTCTAGGACAGCCAGGGATACACAGGAAAACCGTGTCTACAAAAACAAACAAAAAAGACCAAATATTCTAGTGTGTGTGAGAGAGAGAGCCATATTTTGTCTTCTTGAATTCTTTTTTTTTTTTTTGATTCTTTGGAATTTTCATACATTCATATATTTATATAATGTATTTTAATCACGTTCACCTTTCGTTACCTCTCTCTGATTTCCTCTAGTACCCACCTTATCTGATCTCTTCCCAACTTCATGTCCTTTTTTTTTTCAGTTGGCTCCTGTAATGAATGTGGTATACAAATATCTCTTTTAGATCTTGCTTTTGATTGTCTTGGGTATGTTCCCAGAAATGAGATTGTTGGAGTAGCTCTGTTTTTAGTTTTCTGAAGGTACTGCAGTATAGTTTTCCATAGTGCTGCCTATTTATAATAACTCAGTTCTGAAGGTCCAGTGGTTTCGCAGTCTGTTGAGTGTTGAGTTTTAATTTATTTTATTTTATTTTTTGTTTTGTTTTTTGAGCCAGGGTTTCTCTGTGTGTACTTTTGGCTGTCCTGGAACTCGTAGAGATCCACCTGCTTCTGCCTCCTGAGTGCTGGGATAAAGGTATACGCCACCATAGCCAGCTGAGTTTTAATTTTTTTTTATTTTATTTCGTTTTTGTTTTTCAAGACAGGTTTCTCTGTAGTTGAATTTTAATTTTTTAAAGCAAATAAATAGCTTAAGCAGAAATGAGAAGAACAATTTTTATTAAGAACTTTTTAAGACTTCAAGGGAGTGTGTTAAACCAAAAGTATATCAATATAAATGACTATGTGCTTGAGAAATTAAAATTCCAAAAGCATTTAAAAATTTTTTGAATGTAGAAAAGAATAAAAATAAAAACAAATACTTTGTTGTAAATGATATGTCTCAAAAAGGTTAAGGTGATTAGAAATCATTTGAGCCTTTCTGCTTTATTTGATTATGTACCTCTAATGGTCATCATTTATTGTTATATGTAATATTTATTTTAGTATTGCACTTGCCATGTGAACGATATAGGCTACCACTGACTCCAGCTTCTTATTTTTTTGCTACTGACTATTCTCTTTTTGTTTATTTTTTTGTTTTTGTTTTTGCTTTTGTTTTGTTTTGAAACAGTGTCTTACTGTGTAGCTCTGGCTGACCCAGAACTCTCCATGTAGACCACTCTCCCTCAGACTCACAGAGATCCACCTGCCTCTGAGTGCCTGCACTAAAGGAGGGCACCACCACTCCCTGGCTTAAGGGCTGGACCTGTCCAGATGTCACCAGTGTTCAGGTTAAGGGTTTCATCCTCCAAGCCAGTCTGCCAGGTTTCACATCCAGCTCTACCACTTGACAGTTGCTAAACCTCCCTTACCTCAATTTCCTCATCTCTAAAAATGGGATAATCCCCATTGAGGATAATAATAGTATGGGAAAACAATATATAGTGGCAGTTGAAATGATGAGTAGTTAGTTTCCAGTTGAAAGAATATTATAAAAGAAGCAGTACTTGGGAGGTGGCATCAAGAAGATCTCAAGTTAGAGGTGTGACTGTTTGGGACCAGCAAGATGGCTCAATGGATAATGGTGCTTGCTGCCAAGACTCAGGACCTGAGTTTTCTCTCGAAGACCCACATGGTGGATGAAGAGAACTGACTGTCACAAGTTGTTCTCTGACCATCACATAATGTGCTATAATACCACCACCACCACCTTCCAAAATAAATAATGTTTCAAAATGTAATGAAGAGTTGAGAAATGGCATAGTTGTTAAGATCATTTGTTGCTTTTCCAGAGTACCCAGGTTCAATTCCCAGCACCCACAACTGTAGTCCCAGGGATCTGATGCCCTCTTCTGGCCTCTGTGGGTATCAGGCATGCATGTGGAACACAGACATACATGCAAATAAAACACCCATACACATAACTTTTCTTAATTTAATGGGAAAAAAGACCTGTTACATAAACAGAAGAAACCTGTACAATTCTCAGAAGTTTATATTTAATAAAAGTGTTTAGGCATTTGTTAACTACATCAGCTATATGTTAGAATTTCATTTGTAGGAGAAAGATAGACTTTTTGTTTCCCTTTTCCTTCTTTGAGTCTTTGTTTCTAGCAGTGGAAGGGAAATGCAGGTCGGTCTTTTCTCCTGGAGAGTACGGAAGAGAAAACAAATGGCGATGAGATTAATAGGGGTTCTCTTAAGCACTGTTAGAGTTCTGGGACTTTTCTAAAAGCCATGATATGCTGCTGTGACCTTCCTGCCAGGGAATAACAGAGACTTCATATACGATATTTTAAAACTACTAGTTAGGTTGTAATTTCCTGCCTGTTTCCTATTTTCACTCCTTCCTAACATTCTTTGTACCACTCCAAAGAATTACTGTCCCACTAAAAAATATGTATCCCTGTGCACAAGCACCTGCATACATGAACACACGGAAGTATGTGTTTCTGTATTCTGGGGAAGGAATTTTATATAAGACATGATGGCATTGACATTAAAGTTTTAATTTTGAATAGATATATTGCCCATTTACAGAAATACAAATAGTCCTTTTAAAAGGTGTCTTGTTCAAATGCTGTACTCCCATCAAGTACCCATTACATGTTGCTGTAAGGCTATTTTTTAAGAGTGAACTAAGGGGCTGGAGAGATGACTCAGAAGTTAAGAGCATTTACTGCTTTTTCAGAGGACCTGACTTGGAGGCCCCAGCATCTCCATAGCTTTGTAACTCCAGTTCCAGGTGATTGGTTGGCCTCTTCTGGCCTCTGAGAATTCCAATACTAATGTGGTACACATAACTCCCATAAGCACACACATAAAAGTATATATAACTAGAAGTTTTTTTTCTTTTTAAAAAATAAGTTAGATGGATCTTTTTATCCTAATGGAAATGATATAGCCTCAAATTAACACTTGCTGGTAGGAATCCTATTGGCTATTATTTGACGAGAATATGACTATCTTTTTGATGTTCTAATCATACTTTTTTTTAGGATTTGATGATTTATAACCTCCCCAAAATTGGTGTAGAATGTAAGATAAACCCAGAGAGAGTGTACATTATTCAAAATATAAAGAGTCTGGGCATGGTGGTGTATGCCTTTAATCCCAGTACTCATGGGACAGAAGCAGGCAGAGACTTATGAGTTCCAGGCCAGCCTAGTCTACATAGTGAGACTCTGCCTCAAAAAAATAAATTATAAAAAATGAAGCCTTAGTCAGTTTCAAAGTTACAAATTAAAAATTGACAAGAATAAAGTAGTCATAAAAAGCAGATATCTGAACAAAATAAAATCTCTATATTGAAATCTAGTAGAAAATCAAAACTTCATATTAGAATATTAAATAACCTATAAACAGATGTGCAGTAAATGAGGACAATGACCTCAAAATGTAAGCTATGTATAAGTATCTTGACCAGAGGTAGGAATAATTTATAACGCAATATAAAAATATATCCTGAAAATTGTATCAATATACAAAACACTTAAACAGGGGTAGAAATATATATGCATACAATCTGACAAAATAACTTTGTGTAGGTTTTCAAATATTGTAAACAGAAATAACAAATATAATTTGAACTTGTATCAATTCTAAAAGTGCCTCAGTTGGCCCTATTATCAAACCATGTTTTTAAGGCGAAAATATGAAGGACAAAGCTAATCCCTGAAATTAAATATAGGGAATGTAGGAGGCAAATCACATAAACCTTGTATAATACCATCTATGGTATAAGTAAAAAAGATGTTGACCTCTTGGATTGTTAAATTATCTGTCATCTTGACCTTGTAAATTATAAATTTAGCCCTATAAATCTTACCTGTAACAAGTTGGAATAGGTGCAATACCCTTAATTGTCAGTAGGTGTCACAGTTGTAGCCGCGTGGCCTGCTTGAATATTTTGAATTGGTTTTTACTGAAAAATATGCTCAAATTAAAAGCAGTTATTTAGTGTAAATTATAGACTGTGCTCCACAGAGGTCCCTGACTGGTCAGTAGCGGCACAGGGACATCAAGGCAGCAACACCAACAGAGACACATGGGGAAGCCCGCACCCTGCCTGAGCTTCTCTGGTGCATGAGGAAAGCTGGACCCACAAGCCAGCCACAGTCTGCCAGTGGTACAGGTGTCTGGGGACCCAGAGCGACTTCTAGATGCTACTGAGGCTAGCGGCTACTCATATCCGCCTCGGCAAATGCACCACGTGGAGCCTGGCAGCAGCTGGCTGAAGCTGTGGGGGACCTGAGCCCCAAGATTTGGTTGGGCGCCAACTGTTAAAAATTAATGCAGATCAAAAAATACCAGACTAACTACAAGATAGACCAATTATAGTTTTCTTTATTATAAGGGGCAAACTCACAAAACAGGAATGGGAAGTGTAGTGCAAAAACTGTGTAGTGCAAAAACCACACATACACACACACACACACGCGCACGCGCGAGAGAGAGAGAGAGAGAGAGAGAGAGAGAGAGAGAGAGAGAGAGAAAGAAAACCCTGAGTCACAGGGCATTTTTCCAGATACCCAAAAGGTCATACCCAAACCTGATCCCACCTCTTAGAGATCATTGGCTGACACAGATTCCCCATCAATTGTCTTAATTTACAATTCAAAATGCTTATGTTCACTTCTTTAATATGAGACATTTTTAAGAGACTCAAAAGGTTTTTTTAATTTTTATTTATGCACATGGGTATTTTGCTTACATGTATGTCTGTGTACCATGTGCATGTCTGATGTCCTCAGAGACCAGAAGAGGGTATTGAATTCCCCAGAAACTGGACTTACAGAAGATTGTGAGATGTTCTGTGGGTACTGGAACTCAAATTTCTGTTCTCTAGAAAAACAGCCAGTGCTTTTAACCACTGAGCCATCTTTCCAGCCTCAATAGATAGCTTGTTGTATAGCCTCAAACTTGTGATCCTTCTGCCTCAATCTCCCAAGTGCTGGGATTACAAGTATGTCCAGCAGTTGGCACAGTCAATTGCAAGCAAATGGCCATGAAATATGACACTCCTCCAAATGCTTTTCCTTTTCCTCTCCTTCCTGTGTCCTCACTCCTTCACTTGGTGAAAGAGAGTCTTTCTTTCCATAGGCAAATCTAGCCAAAGTTAGCTCACTTTGCTAAAACATGGACTTTTCCCCCCCAGGTTGAAGAGTTCTTTCATAAGGAAATCAAAACATTTGGTATTTTGAACAATGATTTATTCAAAAAGACTTAGTTGACTGTACACAGGACCTCAAATTCTTGTTTTTCTACTTCTCCCCATGTTAAACCTGAACATTAAACATAAATTATTTGATCTAAAATATTTAAAGTTATGAAACATAAATGCAGCTATTTGGAAACATTTTTCCCTTGCTATAATTGAGAGAATGTCACTGGCTTATAGAGTCTAAATGTTTAAAAACCAAATTCTTTAAGGGAGCTGTGAGCCTTCCTCTGGGTGTCGGTGAAACACCTACTGTTTAAGAAAATAATTTCTGAGTAAGCTATTCTAAAAAAAATGCTAAGAACATTTGTAATTATCTTTTAAATGATAAAGTTTACTATATGTAAATTTTTAGAAGGCTATACCCCAAAATATTAAAAATAGAAAGTGTGTGGTGTTAGGAATATCATACTAACGGCTTTCATAGCTGTTGGTTACAGAATTATCCTTGAACATTATATCAAAGGCATCCCTGTCCTAATTGCTGAATCATTTCTGTATTTGAACATACTTTAAAAGGAAAACAAAAAGTGTTTTTTTAGCCTCCAGGATGAGACGCCATTAAACCTTTGGACTATTTATTTCTGGATATACATAATTACCAGAATGAGGAGCCTACTAAGAGCATGCCTCCATCAGTAGTAAGAAGAGTGGTATCTCAAAATAAGGGATTATTTTTTTGAAGCATATTTTTGTTTGAGCAGTTTTGTTTCTTGTTTTTTTTTAAAAACAACAACAACAACAACAAAAAACCAAAACAGGGTCTTTCTATGTAGCTGAGGCCAGTCTATATCTCATAGACAGGCCTTAAACTCACAGAGATTCACCTGCCTCAGCCTTTTAAGTGATATTAACACATTTTTGAAAAAACATTTAGAGGAACCAGAAACAGTTTTAAAAGGCTCTACCAAGATTATAATTGGTTGTTTTAAGTTTGTTGTTTTGGAAGTATTCCAAAACTACTGGGCTGAATTAATGAGGTCTAAATGTCTGTGGCTTTCATTAAATTGTGTAGTCTCAATTACTCTGTCAACAATATAATAATTTATTATTCAGGGTTTATTTTTTCGTTTATTTGGAGATAGGGTCTGACTTTTTAGCGCAGGCCGACCCCAGAGTCCTAATCCTCCTGCCTCAGTGTCTGGAGTGCTAAGATTCCAGGTGTGTGCCACCACTCCTGGCTAACACTTACAATGTACTCAGTACACATCAGGATTACTATTCGGGTTACACAGTAGCAGCTGTCCAAGTTTCTTTGTAGAGATTTTTGTACCAATTTTAGAGAAGAAGAAACCAAAGACATTAAGCAGCTTGCCCTGAATGCCATAGTTAATACGTGTTTTTCTTCAGCCAAGGTTTGTATCCATCTGACTGTGGTGCTCTGTCTCTATGTTGCCATATATGGATGTTTGTGATTAGCCCCACCTACTTTCAGAAGGCTATTATAAAGATAAATGAGATGATATATGAAAATGTACTTTAAATCTCACATTGTGTGCATTTTTCAGTGTTTTTCAAAGCGATATCGTACTGAGATTCCTAAATTTACTCTTTTCTTTTTTTCCAAAGCTTCATTTAAAGGATAAGAAGCGATTTGAAAAAGCTAACCAGGATGCTGGCCCTGGTCTGAATCTGGAAGAATTTATTGCATTTGAGCACCCTGAGGAAGTTGATTATATGACGGTAGGAGCAAGTTTAACAGCATTATCGAGTGACTAAAACCTATTTGCTAAGTTATTGAGAATGAGTTGTGAAACAACCAAGTTAGAGGTGAGCAGACTCATGTTCAGATGTTCTCACGTAAGACTGAAAGTGGTGAGGGAGTTTACTGGGAGGGCAAGAGAAGGGTTTTGTTCTCAGTCTGCGTATATGAGCAGCAGGCTTCCTCCGGTTGCCTCTTCTCTCATAACCATTACTTACCATCAAGGCCTTTCCCTCCCTTTCAGAATTTTCAGGTCTTTTCTAGGCTTTTGATGTTCTTATCAGTAGAAGTCTCATGTAGTTTACACATACTTCTGAGAACTTCTGGTCTGGAAAAGTGGATCACGTTTTGATTGGTTTTCCGAGGATGGGATGCTTTTTTGACTTTATACATAGTAAATGTTCTCATTCCCTGAGTACCTAAAAGAAGTGCTAGTCTGGGAGTATTGTTAGTAGCCCGCAAAGGCCGTCATCCCCAGCACCACAAACAATGATGGGTCAGCTCTTTTTTTTGGGGGGGAGGGGGTTCAAGACAGAATTTTTCTGTGCGGCCCTGGCTGTCCTGGAAATCACTCTGTAGACCAGGCTGGCCTCGAACTCACAGAGATGCATCTGCTTCTGCCTTCCAAGTGCTGGGATTAAAAGCATGTGCCACCACCACCAGTCGATGGGTCAGCTCTTTGACACTGAACTGTTGGATTGTAGTTTAATTGTCCTAACACTAGTTGAACCCCTGTGTCTTAGCAAGTTTCTTGAGAAACTTTACTTCCCATCATATTCATAAGAAAAAAATTAATGATAATACATATGTACTGAAAGCTGTTGTATAGCATAAACCAGCTTTGTGGCTTTATTTCCTGTATTTTATGGAGGGCAGTGTAGCTTTTGTTGAGTGGGTAATGACCAGAATCTGCTGTCTTGAATAACAAGCAGGCACATTTTTCTCAATAGCTTGGTGGCAAGACTGTGCCATTATGCCACTTTTCTTGTCATTGTGAAGTTTCTAATTTCTTGGCACAAAGGACATGACCTAGTTTAAGGCCAGTGCTAGGTGGGATTTAAATGCCAAATCTTAGCTGGGCCACGCTAATTGAGTTCTAGAAAAGAAGGCAGAGAATACTGGACCTTGACTTTTTAGAGAACAAGAAACAGTTGACTGAGGATGGGGAGAGCAGGTGAAAGCAATTAAATAATAGTCATTATGTAATAGAAGCCTGGCAAGGACACAGTGTAGATTTCATCAACATTTTGAAGACCTCGCAATGCCAATAATGTTGATTTACAAAATTAGTGTTAAGAAATAGAACCCTGAAGTTTACGCCTGTATAAAAGTGACAAAAGCTGGGCTGGAGAGATGGCTCAGTGGTTAAGAGCATTGCCTGCTCTTCCAAAGGTCCTGAGTTCAATTCCTGGCAACCACATGGTGGCTCACAACCATCTGTAATGAGGTCTGGTGCCCTCTTCTGGCTTGCAGGCATTCACACAGAAAAAATATTGTATACATAATAAATAAATAAATATTTTTTAAAAAGTGACAAAAACTGTACCTTTGACACAGTGGGATACAGCAGATGGAGCCCTCCTTGGTTGTGCTTTCCATGCTGTGTTGGAGCTGATAGGGTCTCACTGAGAGCAGCATCTTTGACTCCTACTTACCTTGCTTATTTTTATATTGCCTTTTCCCCCTCTAAAGGGTATGTTGGGGATAGAAAAAGACAGGGATACAGCATCAGTTAGGTGATTTTTACTGTGGATTCAAGTTAGAATTAATTTGAAAGGTATGTATGTTCTATTTTTGTGGTACTGGGAATTGAACATGAGATTTTGTATCTGCTACATCCCCAGCCCTTATAAGTTATGTAAACTGGCCTTGAACTTTCAGTCCTTCTACTTTCAGTCACCATGTCTCAGACTCCCAAGTTACTGGTACAGCTGGTCTTCTCCACCAGGCCTAGCTTTAAAATATTTTCATTCGTATTGTTCTAAAAATTCTTTTAAAATATGTCAACATAACTAAAATCTGCTATAGCCCAAGGATATTGCTTGAGTGGTAGAAATATCATTTATAAACTGAAGTGCTATCCCAGAAGAAGTGTAGACCTACCACCCAAAATATTAGATTATATTTTTATGAGATTTTCACATACTTTCTCTAAAACTATTCCTTGGGTCCCTAGCCTCGTCTATATATAAAATGTGTACAGTTTGGTTTTTAAAAGAACGATATTATGTATTTCAGTGTTGCTTCATAAAAATATAGGTGAAGCCCTGGGATTTGTCCGGACCGAAAATTTGAGAAGACAGTTCAGATACAAAGTCTGGATTGAGAGGCATAGGGAGCAGCAGGTAGTAAAGAAATGAGAATCATAGTGTGAAGCCTGAGAGCAGGCAGGCTGGTAATTAACGAGTAAAGCAAAGCTCTGTGACGTGCACATCACAGAAGATGTAGGTAAAGGACCCAAGGTCACAGGGTCAGAGTCTTGGTGTTGCCAGAGATGAGACTGAGCTAAGGGAAAGAAACACTCCACATATGAAACAAATGGAGGATTGGTTGTTTGGTAAGAGTTTGAAATGAGTGAGGAACTGTGGTGCACCCCTTGACCAGCAAGGAAGAACGACCACGAAGTCGAGGATTCTTCTCAAATCACACTTTATTGGAGCCTCTTGGTTGAAGGGAGCGCAGGAAGTGAGAGAGAGAGGAAGCGAGAGAGAACGAGAAGTGAAAGAGAACAAGAAGAGAGAGAGAAAAGGCGAGCGAGAGAGAGAGAGAAAGAGAGAGAGAAAGCAAGCGAGAGAGAAAGCCAAGCGGCATCTGCTTATATAGGTTGAAGGGACTCGAGTACTGTCCTGATTGGTGAATGCCCGAAGCCTCAAGATTGGCTAGGGACAAGGCTCAATTGCGCATGTGCAAGCAAAGGGCGCTCAGCCCCACGCGGCAATACCAAATAAGGACTTGATTACCTCCAAGCTGCAGGACCGCCAGCGCCATCTTGTAATAGCGATAACCGGACGGCTCCTTACAAGGAACATTTAGAATGGTGAATGAATATAGGTTTAGAAGCCATAAGGGGACTGAGTTTGGAAGTCAAGAACTGTAGTTGGTCTTTTTTGTCGAATTTTCTTCGGACTAGCAGTCCCCAAATAATGACAGAGACCAATTAGTTATGAAAACTTGACCTTAGCTTTGGCTTGTTTCTAACTAGCTCTTATAACTTAAATTAACCCACTCACATTCATCTACATTCTGCTACGTGGCTTGTTACTTACCCTCTAAACCATAGTCCAACTCCTATATCTCTCTGACTTAATCCCCTCTCTACCACAAGCCTCAGATTCTTGCCAAGTTCCTCTCCCTCCCTGGAAGTTTTGCCTATCCTCTCCTGTCTAGCCATTCAACTCTTTCTTTTAGGCAGAGACACATCTTCATAGTCTACAAAAAGATTATCTGACAACATTTCCCCCTTTGTCTAAATAAATCTAGTCCATTAGTATTTGGCAAATTTTGAGAAAGTACTCTATTATCTATCCTATCTTGAGTTCAAAGTTTTGTACCTAAACCACTTTCCATCATAACTTGTATTACCAGCCTAAAAATGCCCTTTTAGACTTTAAAACATTTTTTTAGATAAACCACTTTAGCTTTTATATCTCTTAACCTTTATAAACTTTACATCTTTTTTGTGAGGTTTTTTTTTTTCCTTAAAAATTTGGTAACAAAGATGTAAAACTAACTGATTTAGTCTTCACCCCCATCAGAGACCTGAGAAGGATAAAATATTACCTGAGTAAACAGGAAGTGCAGAGCTAGCAGCTTCAAAATTATAGAAATGACAGAGACTGATGGCTGCCTGGACAGTCACCCAAGGTTCCTCTGCAATGTTGGGCCATCCATCTTTGACCTAAAGGCCTCGAATATTTGACAGACTTTTCTGTAAAGCAGGAATTTTGAAGGACTGTCTGGCCAAGTTCGACAAATGCCTTCTTTTGTGTCCTGCTTGTGCAACTTGGACAGCATACTGTCAACAGTTGAGGCGAGGTCAGTTTCTTGCCCAGTGACTAACTTTGCCACCTTGAAAGCAATTTCAGTATGGAAGTTCTTCAGTGACCATCTATTGTAACAGAAGTGGATTGGTGCTGCCATACTCAGACGTGTCTCACTGTCAAGAAAAGCCTTATGTTACTGAAGCATCTTAAATGTCATATTCTGTAGCTCTCTGAAGTGTTTGAAGATCACCTCCCTATCTAAAATATATATTTAATCTTGAAAACATACCTAACATGACTACAAATTTGATTGTTATAGATGACTACTAACCTGTATTTCTTAATTTCCTAAAAAGTTTATAATAATAGTTTTTAAGGAGTAGAACTTTACATTTTCAAATGAGCTGTATAGATACAATACCTTAAACAAGAGTAGAAATATGTACACAGAACAACATAATAAAAATAACCTTACATTTGTATCAATGTACAAAAATCCATACCACTGTAAATATTTCAGATTAGTAATTGCTTTTTAGTTTAAAATTGATTCAGTACTGTACATTTTTATCTTATTATTCCTTTATTCCCCCCATTTTTTTTATAACGAAATCCCTGAATCTAACTTATTTTGCTTAGTTTCCTCCCTGACCATGACCAGTAACAATGTGCAACACCCCCCCACACACACACCCGCTAAATGATGACAAGCATCCATAACCCACCAAGTGACCGAAAACTATTCCTTCACCTCTCGGGAATGGGGGTGTCATGTTCTTAAAATTGTTTCCTGTTGTTTGGTGATGATGGCATCTTTGGACCCTGAGAAAACTGAAATAATAGTCGAGTCTTGGGAGAGCTAGCTGTATCATTTGTTGTCCAGCCTTGATGTGATGGAAAGGTACAGAGCTTAACTGAATTCCTGACTAGAGTAATCTCTGAGGCTGGGTCATCTCAGCTAGCTGCTTTGCAGTTGTTTTAGATGTAGATTTTTGAGGAAACTGCAGCAGAAGCATTCTGAGAGGCTGAATCAGATGGGATATTTGTCTTCATTGGTGTCTGGCACTTTTTGTTCTGAAAACATACAAACCGTTAAAGGTAGCTTACATATCTGTATTAACACAAATATGGAATATGCAGTATGCCCAAATCATCTAAAGATGATTTTTCTTCTCTGTTTGAGCATGTAAAAGGCATCTGTCAACTTTATAAGTTGGTTTGGACTGCATAACCAAACTGTAATATAAATTTCCATCCATGCCATGTGAAAAGGTTGGCATGTAATAATAAGTTATGAGGACTCCATACCCAACAAGATTTATTACGTCTCCTCCAGTCTCTGAGCTGCTCCCATGTAGAGCGATCAGCATATACGTCACCTGTCTTGTAGTCTTTCTTGGTTTCTTCCTTCCTGTCTGTATCAGAGATTTTCAGGAGGTCTCCCCCAGTCAAATCTGGTTTTTATTAATTTTGTGGAAACAAAAGCATAACCTCTTTCCTAATCAACACATGATTTCCATTCCAAAATTAGGACAGCCTTAAAATTTATAGGTTTGTTTAATTTAGTAGTGTTTACATGATCTAATGTCTCTCAGCAATGTTTGTTCACTTATCAGCATTCAAAAAATTCAAAGTCAACAAAACACCATACAGGATCCAGATGCTCTGTGTACTTCCCATCCTTACATGGCTCATTTCTTTTTTTAAAAAAAAATTACTTTACTCATTCTTTAAAGAATTTACTTTATTGTTTTTAAACTACTTTTTCTCTGTCTGTACCCATTTTTTTTCTTTCTTCAGCACCTCAGCACATTTTCAAGCATACTGTACCTGTAATAGTATGTTAAAAAAAAAAGACAAAAAGAAACCTCGGGTTTTTTTTCATCTGGTCCTGGCTTTTTTCATGTCTGTAGCCTTCTCTGACCACACGAGCCAAGCCTTAAATGACCAAGCTATCTTCTGCATGGCTCTGCTTAGCACATGGCTCTGCCTCCCTCAGGTACATCCAGCAGGCTACCCCACTGGTTCTGGACTGTAGCTGCTGTTTGCCCTTCTGTGAGAGTCAAGCAAGAAGGTGCATTTACCTGCTCCAATTCTGGGAAATTGGTGGGACTGTGCTGCAACAAGTGTTTGTACCTAATGCTGAGTAGCACCAGCTACTTGAGTGCTCAACTGCACAGCAGGGCCTCTTAAAGGAGCCACACCTCTGTATGCCAGCCACCTGCCAGCCACCGGATCTGCTTGAGAGTATGGTTACTATGGCTCCATGTTTGGAACTTTTTTCTGCTTTTACAGGGCCTATGTGGATATATGTGGCTGCACATTGGGTGCCAAATATAGTCACTTTTATGTGACTTTCTTTGAATCATCAGTCCCCAAATAATGACACAGAGACTTAGTCTTAATAATGAAAGCTTGGCTGGTGGCTGGAGAGATCTTCTGGGGGGAATAGAAAGGATCTTGGAAGGACTAGGCCAGAGAGACACTCTATTCCCCCCAGAAGTCCTGCCTATCCACTCCTGCCTAACTATTGGCCATTTAACTCTTTATTAAACCAATCAGAAGGTGCTAAAGGCAGAGACACATCTTCACAGTGTACAAAAAGGTTATCCCACAGCTGGTCGCACCCTGAAGAAAGAGCAACATCTGTGTGCTGAGGAATACAAGGTCATGATCTTTGAGAGCCCTTACTAGATTGCAGAACTAATGGAGGGGGGACTGTGGGTAATCAGAGGCATATTTTTCTTTCATACATTTTAATAAAAAATATTATTACTTCTCTCTTCCCTTTCCAACTCCCTTTCCTCTAACTCAATGCTCCCCGGGACACTCAGATTGATAACTTTTTTTTTCTTGATTGTTGTAGCACATATATGTATATGTATGTCTAAGTATGTAAGTACAAACCACTGAGTTCATTTTTGTTGTTTGTGTGTGTGGTTTCAGAGCTGACCACTTTGTATTGGAGAACCAGTTAGGGTGCTCATCCCTGGAAAAGGCTAATTCTCTGTCTCTCAGCAGTCATTAGTTTCCTGTAGTTCTTTGTCTAGCAGTAGACCCCATGAGACTTTCAGGGAGATCTTCTTGAGAGCAAAGAGAATATACAGAAAGCAGGAGCCTGTGTTTAGTGCTGAGGTTGTTTATGAAAGTGAAATAGAATTCTTCACCACACAGGTGAATAAAGATGTATAATTTACAATCACTTAGTACTTGGAAGTTTATTCTTACTTCTGAGTTCCAGAATTTACAAACATTTTCCTGCAAATATGAGCAACCAGAATGATTGTTTATGAGGAAGTTCTGCCATAGGATGGTTAAGATGATGGCATTGAGATGTTTGTGACAATCATTCTTTCCTTTGAATGAATATCTGACAGGAGTTCGTCATTCAAGAGGCTTTAGAAGAACATGACAAAAATGGTGATGGCTTTGTTAGTTTGGAAGAATTTCTTGGCGATTACAGGCGAGATCCAAGTAAGTTGCCCGTGGGTAAGGCAGAGAGAGTAGGGGTTGGGATTAAGGAAGTAGCGATGTTTAGTGAGGCTCTGTATGACAAGAGGAGCCACACAGGCACTCCCAGCCTACCTGACATGCTACTTTGCTCATTTTTGTTTCCATGTATGTTTCAAACATTTCCTTCCCTTTCTAGCAAATATAATGTTATTGTCAATTAAAAGGAGGGAAGAAGGCTGTCTTTAAACAAGCTTCTATGCAGCTCTATGTAGATCTTGATAAGGGACATAAAATACTACAAGTAGTGTAGGCTAGATGAAGTAAGTTTGACCTTAAGGGGAATAATTCCCTTTCTTTAAGCTGTTGTCTGTTACCAGAATTATTGCTTGCAACCTTTAAAAAAACTGAGGTTTTAAAGTTGTTTTCCTGGCTTGTTATTGCAAATGAAACTTAAATAAGGCATTGCTGTATATGAACATGTAAAACAATCAGTAGTCACATGATGTATATCAAAGTGCTACTCTGGGCTGGGCTTGTGGCAGTTTTCTAAGTGCTGCCCAGCATGCAGGAGACCCCTGGCTTCTAGCCTCAGTACTGCACTAACCAGGCATGGGGGAACATCGAGTTCAAAGTCATCTTCAACTACATAGGAGGTTTGAGACTAGTCTGTCTAGACCCTGTCTCAAAACAACTTTTTAATTAAAAATAAATGTTACCCACTTAAAAATAAGGAAAACTAGAAATCAGGATAAATACACAATAAAAATACTACTTTATTAAATTTGTAACAATTAAGGCTGAGTTATTTAGTTAATATCTCATCTTTGGAAATCTTGACATATTTATCCTTGTTTCAGAATTTTTCTGGTAAGAGTTCTGTTTCATTGGGTTTCTTTTTGTAGTAAATTTTAAATTCCCTTCCTTTATTTTAGAGATATATCAAGCTTCTTACTGGTTTGTGATACTCTTAATATATTTGTGGTTTTGTTTTTGTTTTTTTATTAAGCTGCAAATGAAGATCCAGAATGGATACTTGTTGAGAAGGACAGATTTGTGAATGATTACGACAAGGATAATGATGGCCGGCTCGATCCCCAAGAGCTTTTGTCATGGGTAGTGCCCAATAATCAGGGCATTGCACAAGAGGAAGTAAGTATTACAGAATTGCTGTTCCCCTCCCTAACACATACTTTGTGTTATTGATAGGAAAGGAAGCTGGAAATCTCCATCCAAAGAAGAAAGAAATGGAATTACTTACGATAGATATATTGTTGTGCTTTGAATTAAATGAACTTCTTTCATATTGTCAAGAAGACAAGAAAGTTAAGATTATATCATGTCCTGATCTTAAGACACAGTCTATATGATGACAGCTGTGTCATACCTTTGCACCCTGTACTAACCTAATCCTGACCCTGTGTGATGATGCAGAACCCAGGATAGATTAAATAAGGGGATGATGAGAGAAGCAGTAGACAGACACAGGGGCATGTATAATAGTTTACAGGTATTATAGTGTATAATGTATATCATATTATAATGTATAATGGAGATGTAGACATTAATGAGTTCTAGGTATACCTAAGTGGTTTTGACAAGTCACACTAAAATGTGAACATTTGTGTAAAAGACTTACTCTGGACACCTTTTGATTTGGTTTATTTTAAAGGCTCTTCATCTAATTGATGAGATGGATTTGAATGGTGACAAAAAGCTGTCTGAAGAAGAGATTCTGGAAAACCAAGACTTGTTTCTTACCAGTGAGGCCACGGATTACGGCAGACAGCTCCATGACGCCTATTTCTACCATGATGAGCTGTAACTCCTGTGTGCCCAGTGCAGGGTGGGTCCTTTTGTAGTTTGCTACCAGCTTTACTTTTATGATAAATTACTGATGTTGTGTTTTACACTCTTGAGTCTTACCATATCAAATTTTAATGTAGATTATCATTTTGGGCCTTCTAGAAAAAAAACAAAACTTGATATTTATTTCAAGATTTATTGAAGGAGTAAAACATTAATATTGTGCCATATGACCACACAGTCTTTCCTAAGTACTCCGTCTGTGTGGTACTGTGTTGTAGAATGATTGAGTTCTGTTTTCATACTTGAAAAGATGGAGGACTTTAGACATGTCTAAACAATAGTATTTAAGTAGCATGTGATGAAGCGATCAGTTTTTGTTCTGTACTAAGTAGATTTACTTTTGAAACTGATAAAGGACAGTGTTTTTAGGTTTAGTGTTATATTTTAAAACCTTTTAAGGAACCTTCAGAAGGACTTAAACCTCACGTAGATGTTGAGAAGTTCTACTTAATTTTAAAATGGTTTCTACAAAGGGTTTTATCGTATGAAATAGAACTTTATATTTTTGCATATGTATAGATAGTAATTATATTTAATGTATAACTATAGCATTATGGTGAGTGGAAATTGACATTGTCCAGACTCTTCATTTTTGACTGATTAAAAGTAAACTGTCCTATCTTTTTACATGTTTGTTTTTTTAATTTTTCCAGATAAACTTTAAATTTAGCACGGGGTTCATTATATTTTACATTATTCATTCCTTTATTCAGGTAGTGGATGGTCTCAAAACTGTTAATTATTCTTGGTGTATATTCTTATTTTGCCTTTTTTTAATAAAAAAAATTATGTTATAATTGAATGTACACCTGAGACATTTTCAGCTGCCCTTATGTTGAGTGTGATTTTGTATTTTGGTACTAAAAATGTTTTTGTTTTGTTTAAGATGTTAGGGAACAAGCCCAGGGCCTCTTGCATTCTAGACAAATGTTTTGCTACTGAGCTAAAAATTATGGAGGCTGAGAGCCATCCTCACTGAGCACTTATCCATACCCAGACAGCTGGTTTTAATCTCATTCAGGAATTAACATACCTTTGTTAGGGTGCAGAAAAGTTGGTAAGGAATTAACTTACAGATCCTTTATTTGTGGGTGAAAAGTCAGTTGGAAAATTTGTTAATTATTTTCAGGCTACCATTGTCTCATAGAACACCCAGTGTAGGTCACCATGCTCTTCTGAGGATTTGAGAAGACCACCCCCATCCCCTGCCAGCTCTCCTCTGACAGAGTTGACTGCCTACTACTGCCCTGCCTTTGCTGGCATTGGATGTAGATACAAACGCGAAACTCACTTTTAATGATAGCTTTTACCCTCGTAGCTGAGGTGCATGATTTCATTTTAACTTACAACATAGCTAACTATAGCCATTTAAGAATTGAATTATTGTCATCATCTGTCACTTCTCAGCCTCACTGATATTTAAAATGGCTGATTGGCTTTCAGCATGTTAAGTGTTTTTCTTAGTAGATCCTCTGAAGCTCCCGTCACAGATGTTAAACTATCAGATAAAAATTTAATTTTAGTCCTTAGCAGAAATGTTTTCCCTGAGTTAAGAAGTTGCTCATTCTGGTGGCGCAGGCTGGTAGGATTTGCTGAAGGCGGCAGAGGCAGGAGAATCTGGAGTTCGAGACTAGTCTGGGATACACTTTAAGAGAGAGAGAGAGAGAGAGAGAAAGAGAGAGAGAGGGAGAGAGAGAACGAGAACGGGTGATGGTGGTGCATGCCTTTAATCCCAACACTTGGGAGGCAGAGGCAGGTGGATCTCAGAGAGTTTGAAACCAGCCTGGTCTACACAAACTTGTTCCAGGACAGGCTCCAAATCTACAGAGAAACCCTGTCTCAAAACAAACAAAAAAAGTTACTGCTGTCCATTCAGTATGGATAGGCATAGCCCTCTTATAGGTGGGCAGTGAATGGCTCCAACCAGTTGAGTGTAGTTGTCACTTCCTGACTAGATCATTGTCAATCCCTTTCGTTTGTCATGGCACTGTGGAGAAGGCCCAGTGGAAATAGTGGAGCCACAGAGTCAAAGGTCCATGATTGCTCAGTAGCCATACAGAGATCAAATGGATCCACAGTGGAAATAAACTTTTTTTTTTTTTTTTTTTTTTTTTTTTGCTGTTTTTGAAACAAAGCACGATTCAGCCCATCCTACATGGAGAATTTAGCATTAAGGAAATGACTTACATAGGTAGGCATGTAAGCCAAAACATCTTCCACCAAAACAATAGAATTGTTCTCGTTTCCTCTTCTGCTTTGAAAGAGTTAGTTCATCCAAAGCTGTGATTCTCTTGCCTCCATCTACCCTTGGGCAGCTCTCACGGTCTGCGTCCTGCCCTATGACAATCCACACTAACATACTGTCACCCAAACTCTTGTTGGACAGTCCACTTCACTTTGGTGTCATGTAAATACGTCCTGTAACACAGCTCTGTAGTATCTCAGGCATGATCTGTTGTCCTTAGAGTTGGTGCTGGAGTAGAGTGTCTGCACTGAGGAGGCTGGCTGTGTAGTTCAGTTGGTAGAGTGCTTGCCTAGCACACAAAAATACAGGGTTCCACCTTAGGCACTACATAACATTGGGGACAGAGAGGCAAGAGGATCAGAAATTCAAAGTTTTGTTTGTTTTTGTTTTGCGGGCAGTGGTGGAGCATTCTAGTCCCAGCACTCCAGAGGCAGAGGCAGACAGATCTTTGAGTTCAAGTCCAGCCTGACTACAGAACAAATTCTGGGGCAGCCGGGGCTAAGCAGAAACCCTGTCTCAGGAAACCAAAAGTAGAAAAAAAGTGTCATGTGGCAAAAAGAAGTAGCATAAAAACTGAGCTGGGAGTCCGTGCAGCTTGTCCCGTAGTAAAGCAGAACACAAGCTGAACTGAAGGCTCTGCTGTCTTCACTGCTGCATCTTCAGGTCCCAGTGGTGAGCACATAATGGATCAGTGCACTAAGGGACTGTTCCAAGGTGATAACTGACATATCGTCTGTCACAGTGACTTTTTTAATGACTTGGTCTCTTGGTTCCATGTATGTGAAATGTATAGAAACAGAAAGTAGATTTTGGTGTTTGCCAGGAAAAGATGTGAAGTATCCCTGCTTTTCTGTTGGGGTTGATGAAAAGAAAATTAAATGGGGCTCATGATGCATAATTCTTAATATACCAGCATTTAAAGAGTAGGGTGAAGAATCCAAGCGAAACTACTTTATGAACAGCCTTGCATAGAAAGTAATTATTCTTTGTCCCGCACGACGTCACAGCACCTTTTCATGATTCATGAAAGACCTGCCTATGAACAAACATCCAAGCCTAGAGTTAAATTCTCCTTTAAATGAACATATTTATATAGCTCTGATATGTGCCACATTTCCGGAATTTGCCTGCTTTGTAGATCAAAGGAAGTGATATTCTTATTCAACATTTTCCAGTGTTCTGCAGAAAACCAGGTCACAGATGGCAGTGCTGCCATCTTCTGGTACAGTCTTGTAAGTTATTCTGAGGAAATGGTCCTCCAGTCCTTCCTTTGTTTCTCATTAGGGCCCATGACCTTCCAGGTAGCAAATGCTACACCATTCACAGAGGCAGGGCAGGTTTAAGAGAACCAGTAGGGATTGGTGATGTTTCTGCAGCAAGCAACTGTTTTGTGTTATCTGTGTTTGATGATAAAGTCCAGTCATGTGAGCTGTTACCAAGCAGATAGATCGGTTTTGCAGGTGTCTCAGCAAAGCAGGCAAACAATGCCCTGATCACTTTACTCCTGTATCTCCTTCTCATGCACTGGCCTGTTTCAACAGGAAGCTAAGAACCTGGGACCTGAGCTGGTATCACTTACAAAAGAGAGAGCATGGGAAAAGAGAAGAGTGTGTATTTGTTTTTAGTTTGATTTGTTTTGTTGGGTTGGAGGTTGTTTTGTTTTGTCTTTTTGAGACAGAGTTTCTCTGTGTAACAGCTCTGGCTTTCCTGGAACTTGCTCTAGACCAGGCTGACCTTGATCTCACAGAGATCCACCCACCTCAGCCTCCCAAGTGCTGGGACTAAAGGCATTTGCCATCACTGCCCGGCCAAAGTATATATTAAAAACTGTATATGTAATCATCGTTTTCTCCTACCCTCTCTCTAAACCCTCCTGTGTACTCCCACTACTTTCTTCTCTTTCAAATTCATGGCCTCTTTTTCCTTAAGTTTGTGTGTGTGTGTGTGTGTGTATGTGTGCGTATTTGTGCATGTTCTGAAATATATGATTACAACCTGCTCAGTCCATATAATATTATGTCTATGTGTTTTGGACTGACTGGTATTGGATAACCAGTTAGTGTGTGCTTCCCTGGGGAAACTCTTTCTCCTTCTCTCCACCTTCCTTACTTGCCTGGAGTTCTTTGTCAGTGTCGAGGCCCCCTGAGCTTCACCCCTTCCACGTTAGCATCTCTGTTGGTGTTGTCCATGTTCATCATGTTTAGACAGTCATGTTGTGGAGATTTCATGGCCATAGCTTCTGACATTGCTAGGACACACAGTCTCACAGCAAACTTACAGAGAAATGATGTAATTAAAATTTCAAAAATAAAATAAATTGCTTAAAGTTGATATATGTAGAGAAGTGATCCTACTTAGTAATTTCATTTCCTGAAGTGAAGGGGATTGTTACATCATAAAGATCCTCATAGGGGCACTAGAGCTGTTAGGGTTGAACATGGTTTCCCAGGCTAAGGGGGAAAGAGGTTTTAAATGGAGGCTACTTAAAAAAGAAATAAAAATTTTTAAAAAAGCTATGACATAAATAATGAACTAAAGTTGTATCCAAAAAAAGTGGTGCTGGATGTGGTGGCACAAGCCTGTGGTCCCAGAGCTCAGGAGACTGAGGTAGGACTGCCTCAAGTTCAAGTCTAACCTAGGCTACCTATGGAGGACCAGGGTGGCCAGGACTACATAGTCATGAGAGTTTATCACAAGATATTGTTATAGGCTAGCGAGATGGGTCAGTAAGTAAAGGTATTTGCTGCCAAGCCTGACCAGAATTTGATTCTTGGGACCCACATGGTGGAAAGAGAGAACCAGCTCCCGAAAGTTGTCCCCTGACCTCCACACACAGAATATGGTTTGCATGTATCACATGCAAACATACACATACAGTACAACCATTTTTAAATAATTTCTAAATGGTAAGCATGTTAAGGAATCTGGACACATTAGTTTTAAGGAACCTAGCGGGGAGACAGTTAGCATTTCACTGTTGGAGGACACTGATCCTAAATGTTCCAGTTACACAGTCCCTTGTATGTCAAAACAAAAATGCAGTGGTGCAGGAGAATTGTCTGTATTCTGACAATCATGTTTTAAATAAACTGTGATTGGCCAGGCAGGAAGTATAGTTGGGACAACCAGACAGGAAGTAAAGGTGGGGCAAAGAGAACAGGAGAATGCTGGGAAGGAAAAAGCCCATTCCTCCCCAGTCCTGCCCACATCACCGAAGAAGCAAGATGTGACCTGCCCCGCTGAGAAAGATACCGAGCCATGTGGCTAACATAGATAAGAATAATGGGTTAATATAAGTGATAAGAGCTAATAAAATGCCTGAGCTAATGGGCCAATCCATTTATATCTAATGTAGACTTCTGTGTGATTCTTTGGGGCTAAATGGCTGTGGGACCTGGGCAGGAAAGAAACCCCAACAAGCAGGACCTCATGTTACAATGCAGCACCTTTAAAGGTGGTATTACACATAGATTATGGTAAATATAATTACAGCTTTAGAAGACACATTGCGTCATAAAAGGTGAAGCCAGTCCTAACTGACTGGAAGAGTAATTCTCCTTTCTACAGACGTAAAACAAGTGGATGTGCTCGTGCCTACCTCTAATGCTGGCACTTGGCAGGCTGAGGCAAGTGTGCTCCCAGGGTTGTCAGAGCCTAAGCCTATTACAAGCCAGGCTCAGCACCATCCTCCTTAGGGCTGCCAGACAAGTGACAGTGAAGAGGGCAGGAAAAATAAGACTCAATATGGCCAACAGGGAAGATAAACAAAGAGGTCCAGGGGCTCCCAAGTCCACCTTGAGGATTTGCATGAGGTTGCGTTTAAGTAGGAGTCAAGGGTGGGCAAGGTGTGGATCGCTGACCCCAGGCCCTGTCAGCTCCGCACCAGTCTCTCCTTCAAGGTAGTCTGAGAGTTGTGAGAACTGTGTGGAATCTTTCCAAGAGACAAGTTTCTCTGGCTGGCACCAGGCTTTAGCCTTTTCCGTTCACAGCATGAGAGTTCCAGGAAAATTCCAATTTCTCAGAGCCTATCATCTCAACAGTTTGCTATCCAAAGGAAAGGTCACCTGCATCTCTTCAGAATATATTCATTCCTGCCAGGATCATTACAGGATCATTGGGTTCTTTAACAAGTCCAGACTGGGCTAGAGGGTGGTCCGGTTTTGAAACAGGAGAAAAGTAACCTGGTAGGAACTGGAGAAGGGACTCAGTGGATAAAGCACTTGCTGTCCCAGCACAAAGACTTGAGTCCAGATCCCCAGAACTTGTATAAAAGCTGAGTGTGGAGGATGTAAGCCCAGCACTAGGGGACAGATAGGTGGATGGGTCCTGGGGACTTGCTGGGCAATGAATTCCAGTCACTGGATATGCCCCGGAAATGAATCCTGCTGAAACAGCAAGCTCCAAGAGAATGAGAGATCTCTCAAAAAATAAGGTGAACCAATAATCACCTTTGGCCTCAACATGGGCATACCTGCACTCACATGAATACAACACACACGCACATATGCACACGCACACACACCATGCAAAAGGAAAGTTGTGAACAAGCTTGGCTTCGGTGTGACTCAAGGAGCCCTTGCTTCTTCCCACTGTCCTCTCCCATGGCCGTCTAATCCCTCCGTGGGATAGGGTTGATTGGTTCTCCTTACCGCAAGTTCCCTGGGGCAGGGACTGTATTCACTTCTCTGTGTTCTGATTTTCAGTTTCTCTCAGAGAGATGCGTGGTAGAAGCCGAACCTCGTGTTCAGTTGCTTGTTGGCTTCTTTCCAGTTTGTGGGGGTTTACATAAAAGCAATGGAAATTTTTCAAACCACCGGTCCATCCAGCTCCATTCCTAGAGATTCTGATTCAACAGACCCAAGGCAGCAGCCTAGCTGGACCTGACGTGCAGCCAGCATGGCAAAGTCTAGCGAAGGGTTTCTCAGCCCTGCCACTGTTGACATTTTGAGCTGAATAAATTTTTGTTGGGAGCAAGGGGAAAGTGCTCTCTAGTGCACGGTTAGAATGCCTGGTCACACCGCTGGCCTCTCTCGGCGGGTGTCAGTAGTCTTCAGCTGCTACTAGACAAAAAAGTCACCAGATGTTCAACGGCGGCAAAATCGCAGGGCCTCGAGCAAGCTAAGCCTGTGTGCTGGCCCCTGGATATGCCCAAGCCTGTAGCTTGTTTAGAACTCTGGTCTCCGAGTTCCTCTAAGTTACTCAATGATTTTCTTTTCCACATCTGCTCTTGGAGGAAGTTCCTGGGATGCCTGAGGAAAGAACTAAGGTCCTGTCAACCCTTCTTTCCCTCCCTCCTTCCCTTCCCCTCACTCCCCTTCCCACCCTCCATCTCCTGAGTCTGTTTTCTTAGCAGAAGGCTATGGAAGGAATCCTAAGTAGTAGATCTCTACATTTCTTTCCAGCTCTGACATTCTGGCCGTACCTGTTGTCACCGCAGCTGGCTGAAATAGGAGTGTGTTTTGCATTTGACACATTTATTGAAGAAAAATTCTATTTCCCAGTTAATTAAGAAAAAGTTAATTAAAGTGCTGTGTGGTTGTAACTACTGACTTTACCTGCACCCCAATGAGCTTCCTGGGTGATCTTCCCCATGCCCCAACCTCCCAGAGGAGAGACTGAAAGGAAGATCTGACATGGTTTTCATTCCTAAGTTACATAACCACTCTCAATGCAGAATATGATTTAAACAGACAGGAAGAAATAGCTTTTTTATGAAAGGACTTAAAAATGAGCATGATAGATTTAACTTTGAAAAAGAGAAGTAGGCTGGAGAAGTTTTTAAATGTAGCCTTTAAAAAGTATAATGATAGCATTAAAAGGATTATTTTTTTCTATGAGGGGGTGGAATTTTAGTGAGTCTCTGATAATCAAAAAGAGACCTTTTCCCTCCCTTCCTTTGTTTTCTTTCCTTCCTCCCGTCCTTTATTGAACTTTTCAGGAAGGAAAAATGGGCACAGCCCATGGCCTACGCTGTGAATTGAGTGCCCTGGAGCTGTGCAAAGGGCAGCCCTGCCTAGGCATCAGAGGAAGCCCTGCAGCAGCCCTGTAAAAGAGAGAGTCGCTGACGCAGCCTCAGTGAACCAAACGTGCAGTCTTTGTGCTACGGTTTAGATATATGTTCCAGAAAGGCCCGTCTGTTGGAGGATTGGTTCCCCAGCCCATGGCGCTAATGCCCTTTTAGAGGAAGGGTCTAGTGAATATTTTCTAGTCCTATAAAGGTTGTCTTAGAGAGTGTGTTGGAACCTGGATATCTCCTTCTGTTTCCAGTTGCCATGCTGAGAGCAGCTTCCTCTACCACATGACCCTGTTATGATGTACTGCGCCACCAGGCCCAAAGCAACTGGGCCGTGGATCCTGGACTGAAGCCTCTAAAACTATAAAAGCAAAAATAAATGTTTCTTCTTTTTAAGTGGATTTGCCTCAGATATTTGTTGAAGTAATCCTGGTTAACATCCCTTGCCATACCTCTCTCTCTGTCTCTGTCTCTCTGTCTCCCTCTCTGTCTCTCTCTGTCTATCTCTCATCTCTGCCTCTTTGTCTCTTTCTGTCTCTCTCTGTCTCTGTCTCCCTACCTCTCATCTCTGTCTCTGTCTCTTTCTGTCTCTCGTCTGTCTCTGTTTCTCTGTCTGTCTCTCTGTCTCTCTGTCTGTCTCTGTCTCTGTCTCTCTCCTCTCTCCCCCATCTCCATATTCAGCCCAGCCGCTGTGCACTATCCACAGCTACTAGGTACTGCCTGGAACATACCTTGACTGCATTCGTGCAGCTGCCTCCTCTCTGCCCTCGACTCCCGTCTCTACTCACAATTCTCTTAATCATTTGACTCAAATAAGGGTCAAAGTCCTTGCAGTAGCTACAAGACTATCTCCAACTAATTCCTCCTCCCTTCCCTCCACACAGAGCACCATTACGGAGTTCCTTCAACACAACTGGACAATTGCACTAGCTGCTCCGACGCCCAAGGACCCTCTTTCCCGAGATCCACAGGGTCTTCCTCCCTCCCTCTCTCCCTCCCTCCCTCCCTTCCATCCAGGTTGAGGTCTCCCGTTAAGCGCTTCCATCCTCACACATCCGTGTGTGGAGTCCCAGGCCCTAAGCGCTGGTCTTACTTTTTTTGTACTTGTCCCCTCCAAATCTGCTACAATTCTTACATGATGTGCACCACTGCCCGTTTTCCTTCACTGGGATGGAAGATGAAGACCCCAGAGGGTATGGCTCTTCGTTTTTCTTTCATGTTTCTCAAGCACCTATGACTCAAACATAATAAATGTTCCCTAAACAATTCGGGAGGAACGAAGAAAGGGAGGATTTGTTGAGGCCCTTGCATTCTACCACTACACTGGACTATTTTTGTCTTCCTCTCCCAGAAGCTACGAAGTCTGCTTTGGGCAAGCAGCTGAGCTTCTAGCAGTCTTTTATATATATACTATTAGATGGGGTTAACGAGTTATTAGATTTACCCCAGATGTAGATTAAATGAGCTTCTATGTTGGAATCAGTACCTAGCACACACAGTCTTTGCTACATTAGCTGTTGTTATTGTTAGTATTGAGCTGTCTTCTAGGACAAAAATAGCAGACCCTGAGTGGAAATGAATGAATGGTGCATGTTCTATTTAGGTTTCTATTGCCGTGCTGAGTCACCATGACCAAAAGCAAGTAGGGAGGACAAGGTTTATCTGGCTTACTCCTCCACATATAGTCAATCACTGAAGGCAGTCAGGACAGGAACTCAAGCAGGGCAGGAACCAGGAGACAGGAGCTGATACAGAGGCCATGGAGGGGTGCTGCTTAGTAGCTTGCTCCCCATGGCTTGCTCAGCCTGCTTTCTTACAGAACATAGGGCCATCAGCCCAGGAATGGCACCACCCGCCCTGGGCTGGGCTCTCTTCCATCAATCGCTAATCAAGAAAATGCCCTAGAGGCTTACCTACAACCAGATCTTATGGAGGCATTTTCTCGATTGAAGTTGAGATGACTTTAGCTTGAGATCACTTTACCTCTCAGATGACTCTAGCTTGTGTCAAGTTGACATACAACTAGCCAGCACAGTGCATGAGCTCATGTATGGCTAACAAGCAAAAGCTGGGAGGCAGGAGGGAACATGAATGAATCATGGACCACACAGAAGACTGTGAGACTGTGCCAGGTGGGAAGAGGCAGGCATGGATAAATCCTGCGGGATATAAAAGCCCACCTAGGAACTGGGCCTGCTTGGGGAAGAGTACAGAGAGTAAATGTTCACAAGGCCCACATGGGAAAGGATGCCAGAGTTGAGGTAGGCGGGTGTGCACTCATGTGGAAAGGAAAGACTCTGCCCTCTGAGCCCACGGCCATTATCATCATCAGAGGAGCTAGGACTACTGGCACGGGGCCTCAGAACCAGGCTGTTTATAGTCTCTCATGGAAGTCGATAAACAAGTCATTAGACCCTCAGATTCCAGATCCCCCTTCATCCATCTTCCTCCCAGCTGTAAAGAACTCTGCCCAAGCTACACATGGTCTTGGGAGTGACAGAGCACACGGTGAGAACTCCACCTGAGGAAGTAGGTGCTCCGCCTGAGGAAGTAGGTGCTCTGCCTGATGAAGTAGGTACTCCACCCGAGGAAGTAGGTGCTCCACCTGAGGAAGTAGGTGCTCCGCCTGAGGAAGTAGGTGCTCCACCCGAGGAAGTAGGGGCTCCACCTGAGGAAGTAGGTGCTCCACCTGAGGAAGTAGGTGCTCCGCCTGGGAAGTCGGCATCCGTTATGGAGTGAGACTTTCCAGGGAAGCGGACATTTGCTGACATCTCCATAAGGGAAGTTCACGAAACACTTGGGAAGAACAACTGTAGTAGAAACAGAGGGTGAGCACATTGGGGGGCAGAACTATCAGTGAGACTAATAAGACTTTCATCATTAAGAAGCAAACCTACCAGCGTCTTCAAAGCAAGAGTAGAAAGGCCCTCTCCACGCTCCACCAGCAGCAAAATTTTAAGCCATACAAATTGGACTGAATCTTCCCTACCATGAATTTTAAATATACTTTAATTTTTATTAACAGTCTCTCTGGGTTTATTGCTCAATAGGGCAGTAGACTGTTTTTCTCATGAAAGAATATTTAGACTAGAAATTACCTTGCTGGCTAATGAAAAAGAGGAATCAAGCATGGCCAAAATACAACAGGAAGGTAAGCTCCGGCGCCGGCTGTCTCCACCTATCCTCATCAGACCTCAGCAGGCATTACAGCAGTTTCTCCTAAAGGTTAGAAGAGAAAGCTCCCAGTTCTCATTAAAGCCCTCCTAAGTTCTGATTAGGATCAGATGATGGTTTGAAAACACCTGCGTCCTCCAGGTGCATCAAAACCACTTTCTACAGCAAAGGGGCAAGCTTTGATAGGGTGCAAGGTGAAAAGAACACAGCGGTGGAGTGAGGATGGCAGAAATGACCTGCCTTTTCCACATACGCTGACAGCTCCTGATCTTTATGCTAAATTGCTTCTCCCCTGGGCCCAGGAAAATTCACACTTACTTGTTAGTCTTTGATACTTGGTGGTGCTAAATATCTTAAAGCCAACAAAACCTTCTGAAGTCTAACACCTCTTTGTCCTGAGGACAGCCCAGCTCCTTCCTCTAGTTCCCAAGGGGCTTCTCCTTCTCAGCAGCCTGCTTCAGGGTTGCCAGATGAGGTACTCACTACTGCCATTTAGAAACAGTCCAAACCCCGCATCTCCAGGGAATCATATTTCTTAGAATTTTGTAGGGCTAGAGTAGAGCACTTGCCTAGTGTAAGGCTCTGGGTTCCATCTCAAGCACTAGAGAGATGTAATTTTACATTTTTCAGCACTAAGGTTGGGAGGCCAGCGAAACACATGTTGATATTTTATTTTTATTATTTTTGGGGGGGTTTCAATGTTGTTGTTTTGGGACAAGGGCTCATTATGTAGACCAGGCTAGCCTTGAATTCTCAGAGATCTACCTCCACCTCTGCATGCTGACTGCTGGGTTTAGGCATGTACCATTATGTTCAGCCTTATTTATGATGATGTTATTGTTGATTCAATGAGCATGTATGTAAATGCATGATTGTTCTATCCTCTGATTATTGCCACTTCTAAATGAAATGGCTGTTTGCCTATTCATTTCTTTAGTGACTGAAATCAGATCCAGAAGAAAGGTTTCCCTGCTCTTTAGAATAAAATGCCATGTCAAATACTCTGCTTCGGCCCAGCAGACCTCCGTTGGGGGATGTTGTCAGCAGAGAGCACATGCAGTCCAAGTTGGCTCAAGCAGCTATGGGCCTGCAAGTTTGACTGCATGTTACTCTACTAGATCCTTGGGAACCCCTGTATTCTTTGACACCTTGCTTTGCATTGAGTATATGGTCATTTAATCCAGTGGTTCTCAGAATTTGATCAGTTCTAAAATCATTAACATCAGCATCTCCAGGGAGGGGTGACCTAAATATTCTCTGGCCTGCTCCTATACCTCCTGAATGCCAGCCTCTGGGGCCCCTATACCTCCTGAATGCCAGCCTCTGGGGTGATGTCACGCATGGTCAGAAAACTGGTCTTCTTTCAGCGGGCTCCACATGGAGTTCCATCTTTATCCTTTCTTTGTCAATGCTTTACCTGTGAAGTCTCCTTGTAAGGCTACTGTGACCCTGTCTGTGACGGTCTGAAAGGCAGAGAGAAGGCTGCAGACACCTAGGGAAGAAATCCCAAACCTTCAGGGGCCTCTTTGAATCTTCACACCTTTAAAAAGGGTGAGAACTCACAAATGGGGGGTGGGGTGGACCCCAGCAAGCCCAACACCCTTAAAAGAGAAAAACAGCTGCTACCTTAAAGGGCAGCACAGCGAATGGAGGTGAGGAATCATAAAACATTTTTACTCTGACAAAGAGACTCTCTTTAGGGCAGGTGACGGCCTGTTTAACACAAAAGAAAGGGACAGGGCCCCACGCTGTTAATATGGAGACAGATGAGGTACAAGGGTGGGAAGAATCTGAGCTCTGACTTCAGTTAGCCACAGCCCTGTGGGAAGAGAACCAGGAATGAGACCAAGGCAGCAGAGAGAGCAGTATCTCAGCCATCAGAGCTGCCCAGCCATGGGTAGCATCTGTGGGGCACTGAGTCTCCATGACTATGTGTCATAGACAGCACAGTAAAAACATTTTTTTAATTTTTTAATCACATCTATCTATCTACCTATCATTTCTCTGCCTACTTATTTATTTATTGTGTGCATGTATATGTGTGTACATGTATGTAGACAACATGCCATAGCAGGCTCGTGGAAGTCAGAGGACAACTTACAGGAGATAATTCTCTCTTTCTATTACATGGGTCCCAGGGATTGAATTTAGTTCATCAGGCTTGGTGGCCAGACCCTTAACCTGCTGAACCATCTTGCTGGCCTAGGTAATTTTGTATTAGGCAAGAAACTACAAAAGCCAACATTTTTCAGATCTTGGACAATCTCAGAGCAGAACAGCTCTTCTTCAAATGCAATAATGCCACGGTGTTTCAATTTAAGAAATAGCAAGCCTGCTGGGCGGTGGTGGCACGTGCCTTTATCCCACCACTCAGGAGGCAGAGGCAGGGAAGCTCTGTAAGTTCAAGGCCAGCCTGGTCTACAAGAGCTTGTTCCAAGACAGACACCAAAGCTACAGAGAAACCCTGTCTCAAAAAACCAAAAAAAGAAAGAGAAAGAAAGAAAGGAAGGAAGGAAGGAAGGAAGGAAGGAAGGAAGGAAGGAAGGAAGGAAG